AGCGTAACAGATGCTCATTTCTGGTACAGCGATCATGGTAGAAGCTAGCGTCCAGATATGGACTTCTGCGAGATGTTTTATGGAGATCTGTGCAATTTGCCACATAAAATTCCGCGCCATTCACTTCCATTTAAACTTTGTCTATGACTTAAACTATCTATTGGGACTTTCTTTTTTTATTGTATCTTATGAAATACGATACCACGTTACTCGAAATTCAGTCGGCGGAACGAATAACAGAATATCGTATTAGAATTAGAACGATGATAAATTCTGTACTCAAATAGTACTAAACTAGTATATAATTGTTCTTATATTTATGGGAATGTTACACCCATGTATTAACTTTTTTTTTAAAGAAAGTAGGAAGATCTAACAAAGCATATTATGTTTATCTATACAAATAAATAAAATTGAAGTGTCTGTTTGTAATGTCAAAATTACAGTTTTATACTAAATACAATATAATACAATAATAAATACAAACACTCACGCCTGTCACCCAGAGGGGTAGGCAGAGACTACGGACTTCCATTTGGCGCGATCTTGACACACCTCTCTCGCCTCCTTTACATCCATATATCTACGCATACACGCTCGTCGGTTAAGGGTACTCCTAATCTGGCCCATTTTTAATGTATCGCCGATTTGGTCGATAAACCTTCGTCTAGGCCGTCCCTTCCCGACATAAATAAATATTAAAGTATATACGGTATTAATAACAAAAATACTCCGAAACGGCTGGACCGATTTTGACGGGATTTTCACTGGCAGATAGCTGATGTCACAAGGAGTAACTTAGGCTACTTTTATTTTAGAAAAAGAAAAGAATTAGGGTTCCGCGCAAAAAAAGTTAAAACGCCAAATAACAAGCGCGCGAAGTTGCGGGGAACAGCTATATACATATAAAACTTGAGTGACAAACGAACTTACAACCCACCTGATGGTAAGTGCCTTCTGCAAGCCACGTCACCTGCAAACAACTTCAAGCAAAGAAGGCTACAGATGCGTTGTCACCAGCCGCACAGCCTGTAGTCATACTGGCTTTCTTTATCCTTCAGATCGGGATACAGCAGTGTACGCACTGCTATTTGGCGACAGAAATAGGTAAGAGGATGGTAACCTACCCAGACTCCTAGGCAAAAATGAGTCCTACGCCTGGAGTTTAAACTTTTACAAGTTATTGCTATTAAAGCCCAGTGTCTATGGGTATGCATACGACAGCACAGTTGTGGAGAGATAACAACCAAGCGCTCGGGCCAGTCGGGATCAAATCCAGTCAGAAAGAGAGGCTGTGGTTGAGCTTGTGAGTCTCACACTACAGGCAGACTCCGAATGGGGCGATGCCAATCTCGTGAGATTTAACGCCTCCAAAACACAAGCGTGTCTTTTTACCGCTAAAAGCAGCCTGCTCACCTTGGCTCCTACTTTCCGGAATGTATCCTTGGAGTACACTGACCGCCTTCAGTTGTTAGGGATTGAATTTTCTCCGAACCTAAACTATGGGCGGTTCATTGAGTCCAGAGCCAAAGCAGCCGCAAGGAAACTTGGTGTCCTTTGCTTGCGTGCGGCGGTACTTCACGCCGGGGCAGCTTCTTACCTTATATAAAGCGCAAGGCCGGTCGTGCATGGAGTACTGCTGTCACATATGGGCTGGTGCTGCAAAATGCCACCTGGCAGCATTGGACTCAGTGCTGAGAGGCTCATTGGTGACCTTGATTTGGTTGAAACCAATCTTGTCAGCCTCGAACACAGGCGCAGAGTAGCCAGTCTCTCGGTATTCTATAGGATGCATTTCGGTGAGTGTGCGCAGGAATTACACGCCTTAATTCCTCCCTCTCCTTTCCACCATCGGACAACGAGACGGTCGGCGGGTCTATATCCCTTTGTTGTCGATATTCCACGCATTAGAACCAAACGGTTTGCTTCGTCTTTTGTAATGCGTACAGCAAAGGAGTGGAATAATTTGCCGGCGTCTGTCTTTCCGTCCGAATACAATCTGGGCAAGTCTTCAAGGCAAGAGTGAACAGGCTTTTGTTACGATAAGACAGTGCGATTTACCATCTAAGGCTGCATCACCACTTACCACCAGGTGGGATTGTGGTCAAGCACTGGCTTATAATAAGTAAAAAAAAAATTAAAAATTTAAAGGCACTTCTATATTTTTTTAGCCCTTAATAGACAAAGGACAAATGTACCATATGTATCGATTTTTAATTTGTGTAATCGATTTATTTTGGTAAACATTATTATTATTTTTTCCATTTTTACTATAAAACTGACTTTTCAATAGTAGGGAGTTCTTTGTTTTCCCCTAACCACTTAAGCTTAACCACAGGCTTAACGTAGACGTTTTTTTTTTATAGGATAGGGTGACAAACGAGCACACAGTCCACCTGATGGTAAGTGGTTGCTGTGGCCTATAGACATCTACATTTTTATCCTCAATAAAGAATCAAAATGCAGATGCGTCGTCACCCGTGAGGACTAAGATGGAATGCCTCTATTCCACTAAAATGGGTTTCTGGTTCTCTACACTCACCATACGAAACACAGCGGTATGAAGCTGCCATTTTACGCTGGTATTCTGTGAGAGCGTGGTCCTTCCCCGGTCGAGCCGACCCATTCGTGCTACAACTAATACTACTAATATAGCTGCAGCATGGCTCTACCACGTATAAAATATACGTGATGAGTAATACATAATATTTATAACTGACAAAAAAGTAGTTTCTTTATTCGACGGTATTTTTTATGTATGATAAGCGACATCTTCGCCAACTGTGAAACAATTTTAATTTTTAATAATAATTTTTAATATTTGCGAAACTAATAACATTACTAACTTACGTTTAACTGCGCCACTCCTTAACCACTCCTGGTAAGCTTAAAATGCTTCTGCTAGGAGTGATTCACGACAGTCATCAAATAGCGGATTCAAACACACGACCTTATGAGTTTGCGGTTCGCAGATTTTAATAATCCTGTCTTCTTCTTAAATGGGCTACATCTTATTGGCTATGTCCATTTACATTGGAAGAAAAATTCTATCCCTAAAGGTGGCAAAATAGGCATAAAGTTTTTAATGTACCTACCTAACAATTTAGACGATAATTTAATTGTTACTTTAAATTTGTAGTCTACTATAAATGTGAAATATTTATAATAAATCTAATAATTATATAAAAAAATATGTTTGTTTGTTCGTATTTTATGCGCTGCCATATCGTTCATCAGATTGCGGTAAAACTTTGTCAACTTATTGTTTGCACTTGCGCTAAAGTATAGTATAATTAACTTACAGTAGGTGGCGCGTGTATCGTGCCGATCGCCAAGTTATACGTATATCATTCAACATCAATAAATGTATTACCATTCCTAATAAAACAACATTACTCATCTTAATTTAAAACTATATTTCCACAATCATTTCTCCTGCGGCACAGCGGCAGCAAACGCGCCGGGTACCGACTAATCAAGTATAAACTTACTTATAAAAAGTAAAACTGAGTTCGTAATAGAGCACAAAAAATAATTTCCACATAATTTAATAGCGTCGACGACTTTTAACAGTGGTAGAGCCACGCGGCAGCTTTTGCTGTCGCACGGATGGGCCAGCTCGAACCGGGGTAGTACCACGACCTCACAGAAAACCAGCGTGAAGTAGAGGTTTACATCTGCGTTTCGCTTGGTGAGTGCAGGTGGCCGGAGGCGCTTTTTACTGGAAATGAGGCATTCCATCTTAGTCCTCACGGGTGACAACGCATCTACATTTTGATTTGTAACAGAGGATAGATGTAGATGTCTATGGGCCGCAGCAACCACTTACCATCAGGTGGACTGTGTGCTCGTTTGTCACCCTTATGCTATAAAAAAAAAGCGTCTGAAGTCGGTGCTTAGACAAAGTATACCGATGGATTAGCGCCCCAACTTTAGAAGCTATTCATATTCAAATTAAAAGCCGATAACAAAATCTTATTTAAATTATCAATAAGCCTCTGATTGGTCTATTTTCGTTGCAGGATACGAGAGGACTCTGTCCGCACTTGGTAAGACAACCTCAACTTATTATTTAAATAAGATTTTGTTACATTTTATCTTATTAATTTTCTGTGCGAACCACATACAGATATAAAAAGTATATTTTAAACAATTCAAAAGAATCGCGGATGAAAATGAGGAAGCAAAATTTTCATCATGGCGGCCACATGAGACATACTTGAGAACAGATACTGCTTGTAGCTGGTCCGCTCAGACTCACCATGCACTGATGAGTTCCAAATTTTGACGCCTTTTTTTATTATGCCATATAATATTATATAAGAGACCATCAGAGGCAGCTGAACTAAGTAAGTGCTACAAGTATAAGTCTATGAGAGATGACTACATATTTGTACCATTTGCTGTAGGTCTATCGGTCCGTGGGGTCCACGTGCGGTGAAGTTACTAAAGGAACTGTATCTGTGACTGGTTGTCGCTGCTGGTAATAAGAGGGCTGACTTTTTTCTCGCTCTAATGTTAAGTATAGCTATTCCGCAAGAAAACGCAGCCAGCGTTCTTGACACTATACCGTGGGGAGTAGGACTGTGTGATAATTTAAGTTTTTAATTTTAATTTTGGAACGAAGTTCTTTATCGGACGGTACGGACGGGACCTAGGCGACAAAAATTGTAAGATTTTTTCGTCACGACTGCTTGTGTCATAGTGTAGATGGCCTTGGCGGCGAAATAAGGGAGTGAGATGGAATAATATCTCCCTCGCACTTTTCTTATCTTGCCATGATAAATATTATTTCAAATGACGATTCATTTTAATAGACGCTAGTAATTAATTTATTTGTATTTGTTAATCAATAATATAATACCTACGTTTATCAATAATAATATACTACGCAAGGAACTTTGTTCCAACCGAGTGTTCTACGACACTCACGCATTTTTTATTATGGTAATAAATATTGTATATATGTTATCATGTAATATTTTCATATGACATTTCAGGTCCACCGAGTCACGATTGGACATCCTACAGCCCAGAGTGGTCAGGAGACACGGCGCACTACAAGACAATTGAGAGCGACGAGCTCGAGCTCCACCATGCCCAGGATAAGAGCCATTCGTGAAGCAGGACCAGTTAATAAACCAAATGCCGTAATTTCATCATTGCATCAAAAAGTCTGATGTACTCTGTTACAATAAGTTTAAGTTATTTATTGATTATAGGTTTAAGTTATTTATTTTTTGACGGCTCTATGGCGCAGTGGCTTAGCAATGAGTGGCCGCGCTGAAGGCCGCGGCTTCGAATCCCACACGGAACAAGTATTTGTATGGCCTACAAATAATTGTTCCGGGTCTGGATGTTTGTGCTAGTGAAATTAATGTATGTAAACTGCCACGATACAGCAGAAAATCCTAGTATGGAGGTGCGTTTTTCATTTAAAAAAATATTTATCAGAATTGTTAATGGTAAATGAGTGGCAACTGCAGCCCAGACAACTTAGGGTTGCCAACCATAATATATGTATATTATAGTATCCTACTATGTTAGAGGTGCAGCTTCTATAATCCTAAAAAAATACATATCAGGCGAAACTACTGTATTGTAATCATTGAGTTATATGTACTACGTACTAGAGAAGCCATTCCGAACATTGACTATGTTCAACTGAACTGTAGTGCAATCCATACAAACTAAATATTGCGTAAATTGAAGATTTGTGAATTCCATAAGATAATTATTATTACATTTTACTTAGAAATATCTTTGTTTAGATGAAATTAAGATATTTTATATTAAATTCTTATATTTATTTTATATTAATATCTTATTTTATATTAAATTCTTATATTTATTTTATGTTAATATCTTATTTTATATTAAATTAAAGTGTTCGCGCATGCGCGACTACTACTCCCGCGCATGCGCGAAGACATAGAGTAGGACACAATTTTTGTTTGGAATGGCTTCTCTAGTACGTAGTACATATAACTCAATGATTGTAATATGGTATGAGGGTAGATTATTGTAGTAAAATATCAAATATCAATTCGAAGCAATATTATCATCATAATCACTCCAGCCCTTCACAAGTCTATTGCTGTAAGCCTCCCGAAACCAACCAAGGCCTTGCTCCAAGGATACCACAATACACGGTCCTGAGCCATCTGCATCCATCGACTATCAGCATGTCTTACCAGGTCGTCACTCCATCTATTGACACATCAAATGTAAAAGCCTCGAAAACAATGTTTCAAATAAAAAAGTTGAATTGTCACTTATCAGTAATTTGCCTGATCAGTAAATTTACTGAATCTTAGCATGTAATTAAAATTAACTGTCCTCTGGTCATGAATTTTTTATATCTATCGAATTTGTATCACCGAGTGACTTCGTATTTCGTATTCGTATTTCAAATCATAGTTTCATTTACGTGCGCTAGGGGGCGCTTTTCATATTTCTATACAATTTTAGTCAACGATACAAAGTCGTTAGTACTTACTACTTAACACTTGTGCTAAAAGCACAAGTAATATGCACTTAAATGTATTTATAATTTCATGAAAAATAAAATATTGAAGTGAAACTTCTTTATTGTTATTAATTATAAACTGATGCAAAAGATGAAAATTATGTTAAGTAATATAATTAATTTTATATAATATAATATGTATAATATGTTTTGGGGCTGATATTTCAATGTTCATTTAAAATTTATTCATAGATATACAATTTAAACAAGTTAAAATTACAGCTGTATGAATAAAATAGTTTAATGCACCCACGGCTTTTTCAGCCACCAGGGCGGCGCTACTGAAGATTGGGCGAAATATTTGACAGATTTCATAGCGGGGGAAGTTAATTTGTTAGAAAAGCGTACAGATTAATTAATCTTTCTGTAGTGTTAGTTATATTTTGTATTAATTAGAACATAAATGTATAAACCCAACTACGAATATTCCTAAAAGTAGAAGAATTAAAATAGTTAAAAATGTGTTAAAAATTAAGGAATACAGCACTAAGATTTTTTTTTAGATACATACATAAACTAACCAAAAACTTATAATTAAATCGCAACGTTTCAATAATGATAACAATAATTATCAATATCTGCGTAGCAAATAAGTTCAGCTTAGTCCTCCAGCTAGCGACATCTAGTGAGCGTAAGATTATTAGCACTTATTGTTTCTCTTTTGTATTCACTCCGGTAATAATTTATATGGACAACTTTTTATCTGCCGGTTGAAAAATCAGCCTTTGTATTCTGAAACAATGTTTTTCTGTCTGGTTACAATGTCTAATCATTAAAAGACAGCTTTCAATATTATTAAATAAAAATATTTTTTTTCTTGTCCTAAAACCCTCTCAGAAGTGAGAGGAGGCCTGTACCCAGGACTGGAAAGTATATTATGAGATGTATCTTTAGGCCCTTTACAAGTAGGCGGGCCGCCCTACACTTCGCCTACCGGTATTTATATGTAATAATATCATTTAATCCCAACTTTTAACTGTTCAGTCCTAATTAATTTAATAAATAGCTAATATATTTTTTTATGTTTCATCATAATATACGTTATATATACATCATATACGCGGTACCTCACACGTTTTGAACATGTTTGTATATCGAATATAAATTACCAAATATTTCTATATACCAACAGTGGTGATTAGATATTTGCAATATATTTTTGTTCAGAAATTTTAGGAAGTGTCTATATTATGCAGTTGTACTTAAGCGAGGAAATAAAATGCATTTATAAAATATAGGTTATTTATTGCAATAAATATGTATAAACGGACGGACTTCATGTTCTTTTATTTACACTGAGTATAAGGATTCAATTCTATATACCTAATAGTCTAAATATAATACACAACTTTTCAAAAATTTATTTATAAACAAAATTCTTGGCCAAAATTGGAATGATTTTCACATAAAGCAAAATATAACAAATTGTAGATATGTAAAAAATGGAAGTTATAAAAAACAAATACTAAAAAATCACAACAAGAGATTCAAACAGAGTATAAAAATTAAAGCCAATATTCAGATACAAATAGTGTTGACATCCATTGAAATATTGAGATGTGGGCCAAGGGAGCATTCAAAATGATGAGAGAAAGCAGTGTTAAATTTAGAAACCGGACATATATTATGAGCTCTTCTTTTTAATTCATATAGTTTTGGATCAAATAAAGTAGATTTATGTTGCCTGAGAATACTACTTAATACAAAAAGTTAACGAAATGTTAATAATTGACAGTCAGAGTAGAGATGTTTAGTAGGGAACCGAAATGATTTATAGGTCATTACCTTGATGATCGATCTTTGAGCTCTTTCTAGTGAGATGAGCATACTTTTAGACGCTCCTCCCCAGACCGAGTTGCAATAAGTGAGTATAGATTGGCATAAGGTAAAGTATGCTGTTTTTAAAAGAGTTATATCTGAAATCTGTCGTAATTTATTAAAAACCCAAACTAATTTGCGAATGTATGCTGATACTGTATTAATATGATATTGCCAGTTGAGTTTCGAGTCCAGATAAATATCTAGGTATTTAAATATAGATACTTTTTCAATAGAGATACATGAACATGTGTTATTATTGTTATTTCCACATTCATGAGCCCTGATAAAATTAATACTATTGAGTATGGGGTCTCCTCTAATTGAAAAGGGAAGGAATTTAGTTTTTGAACATTGATTGTCAAAAGAATTTGTCTAAGCCTCGAATCACCCGACAAAATTTTATCTCCACAGTCTTTCGTACCTCATCCCAAGTCTCTCCGTGAAAAACTAATGCTGTGTCATCAGCAAAAGCGAACACTTTTCCATTATTAAGATTTAACTGGCATAGATAATGATCTATGCCATTACGAGTCTCTTTTTGATCTACATCAATGGATGTAGATCAAAAAGAGACTCGGACCCAAGACACTGCCCTGCGGAATACCAAATGTTATTGAGGCCTCAGAACTATAGTAATTATCAATTTTAACCCTTCGAACCCTATTGTGTAAGTAATTTGAAAAAAGATCTAAAGTCTTACCCCGTATCCCAATGTTTTTCATTTTATTCATAAACTGTTTGATAACTGTCAAATACTTCAACACAGACAAACCAAAGTAAACCTTACGGTCATAAATAAATAAAATACGAATTGGTTTGTGCCATCAAATATCTAAATCCGACAACCGCCTGAAACAAACGCCGAGGAATATACACAGAGTAATCAGTATTGAGTCGCTGACCAAACCCAGGGTGTTATTAGAGAAGCAGCTGTAAGAAACCCTCTTCTTTGATGACAGTCTTCTTTTGTCCACTGTGAGCTTTTTGGGCCACGACGCGAAGTTGGCGGGAACTGTTTGACACGGGCTATTAAACCATTTGCGCGCGAAGTTCGCGGACATGTTGGCTTGAATGCAAACGTCAAAATGGCCGCACTTTTGCCATGCGGCGCGGAAGTTGTCGTCAACGGGGACTATGAGCGAACGCAGCTGGTAAGTGACATCCGAACTGAAGTACATTGTCTTCTTGTCCTCTCGTGTGAAAACGAAGAAATCTGCCGCATCCTCGTTGGTAGACACGAACCAGTGGATGTAGATGTAGCTCTGTGAGCTGGAAATAAGTTTTTCTTTTATACAAGTCTTTAATGTAGTTTAAACAAAATAATATGTGCTTGTGTGTCAATCTGTCTTTACTAACCACTTTTAATCTGTTATTTTTTGCAACAATATTCAATCTTTCATCAAAGTTTATATACTGAAGGTGCTAAGACATATATAATGCATAGAAGAATTAAAGTGTCGACATTATAATATGTAATTATTTTATTTTCTTTAGTGATACGGAATCCGCTTTTTTTATTGATTTAGGATGACAAACGAGCCACAGTTTACCTGATGGTACCAAACAAAACAGGATATGGGCAACAACTAAAAAAATAAATACCCTAACATATGGATCGCCTAGGCAAGGAGTACCAAATGGCCCAAGGGTTATGGGGAATATTATTATTAATAATGTGCAGAAGGGCCGCTGGAGGAAATTATTGATAATAATAATGTCCTGCAAAGACTGAATTTCGGCCACGGCGGCCAGTCTCAACTCTCCATTTGCCC